ACAGTATTTATCGGGCGATCTGTAGAGACAGTACTTATCGGGCGATCCGTAGAGACAGTACTTATCGGGCGATCCGTAGAGACAGTACTTATCGGGCGATCCGTAGTGACAGTACTTATGGGGCTATTAGTAGAGACAGTACTAATTGGGAGACCTGTAGAGACAGTAGTTATCGGGCGATCCGTAGAGGTAGTAATTATCGGAGGATTTGTAGAGACAGTACTTATCGGAGGATTTGTTGAGCCAGTATTTATCAGGTTTATCGGGTTTGGGTTTGTTTTAACCAGGTTGATCAAGAAATACATTAATATATATTGTAAAATATACATTTTGAATTTAAGTTCAGTTTTGTTAATCTAATCAATTATAATACATAAATTAATTAATTGATGATTCAATTAATATTACTTTATAATTACTTAAATAACGTGTAATTTTTTTATTTTTTTAATTAAATAAATTAAATTTTATACCATATTTGTTAACAAATATTAATTATATACTTTATAACTTTACAATTTTATTATCAGTTGTCATTACACTTTTATAAATTTATATGCTCAATTTTATTTTGAAAAAACAACATTTAATTAAAAATCTAATTAAAAATACTTATTATCTTATAATTTACAATTAATCTCATATTATTTAGGTTGGTAAAAGCATTATTACGCATTATTAATATTAAATTATAATTATAAGCAATATATAATTACAAAATTTAAACAATGTAAAAATAAAAATATTTACTAAATAAAAAAATTAATTAAATATAAATTACATAGTCTTAAATAATCTGACGAGCATTTGAAAATTAAATATTTATTGTAATATTACATGTTTTGTAGCATAGCAAACATAAAACACCACTATGGATGTATAAACATTTTAAATTGTTATCTAGTTCAATTAAACAATTAGTAAAATTATTTTAGAACTTACAAGTTAGATAAACTTAATATCTATATTAATATAATAACGTTATAATTACTCTTAATAATACTTTAAATAATTTGTTAATCAATTGTTAAGTAAATAAAAATAAATTTTTAAATAATTGACATTTTTAATCATAGTAATTAAATCATGTATTTAACACGATAGTTTCAAGTGCTACAGTCAATATAATAATTTCATAAATAAATATTTTTTAAATCACATATCACCATAATAAATTAATATTTTAAATGAACAACTTAATTAAACAAATTAAAATTAATAATTTTATTTAATGAACATTTTTATAGCATTAACCTCTCAAACAATGGTCGCATAACTTTGTGCCAAACTCTATACCCCTCTAATGACAGGTGCAAGTGATCGCCCAGAAACAGCTTCGGTATTTGATGTCCACTACTGTCCATCAAATATGGCGTCAAATCAATGTAGAATACACTCCTATTGTCGGCCAACTTCTTGAGCTCAACATTGATTTGTTTTGATCTCTCGCTTATCAATGTGTTTGTATACGGCGTGTGTCCTATGATTATCACTTTGGCGGCCGTGAATTTGGCCCTCAATTCACGAACAATCTCTTGTTGTCCGCGCAGGACATCCGGGGCCGATACGGCCCGGTTATGACACATTGTATTAAACCCTAAGACATTAGAATCAAATCATTTATATCATGTTTAATCATTTAATTTATGTCAAATATTTAAACACATGTATATCACACATACCTGGGCCTGAGGTCACTACAATTACTTTGGGTGTGAGTCCATCCAACTCTCGATTCTGTATCCGCCACAAGACGTTGGATATCGTATCACCTCTTATACCATAATTGGCCGCACCATTCGTACCATAATAATTATCCCAGATCAATTTACCATCCTTTTGCCAATACTCTGCTCCGGATGCGCCAATAAAAATAGCCTGTATCTCTTTCTGATGTTCCATGGTCATTTTAGTCAACTCATAGTGTCGTTCAATCCAGTACTTATCGCCCGGTTGTGATTCCCACGGGTGTCCATCACCACAGCTACTGGCAGTATATGTAGTGTTTCTAATGTCAAGACTTAACATGATTTTTATTACAAGTAATTAAGATATTTATTAAACAACTTAATCTAACACTTGTTAATACAATAGTGAGTTAAGTTAAATAAAATTTACCTTTTATATAAAAATAATGTCTGGCTTATAAAATAAATTATTACTAAATCATTATGATAATAATAATAAATGCAGTATTGTTGATAACAGTATGCTGCAAAACAAGTTTTCTTATTATTCATAAAAACAATTAATTATTATTATTCCCAATCATTTTAACAAAATATTTATATGTTGACAACAATTATTAACAATAATTAAGTTGTATATTTCAATTAAGGTTAGTTAATTAAAAAAATTCCATGAATAAATAATTAAAAATTTCGTGAGTTCTAAGAATTCTATAAATACGATGACTTTTTATGTGGCTTACGTCTGACACGTGTAATAACGTGTACTGTATAGCAAAAATAATGTCATTTACACAGTAACCATAAGGTTTCTACATTATTTTTATTTTACTCTTTGGTATCACTATAATTGTAAACCAAAGATTATGAAACAATTACTAATCATGATATCTAAATTAGAAATTTAAGTATTATTATATATAAGTATAATCAACTGTTTAAATTCAATCGGTATTAAGCCGATAATAATTATTCTAATCAAACACTATGAATAT